CTCCCGGGAACGACTCCGTTCGAAGCATGGACCGGAACGAAGCCGAACCTATCCCGCCTTCGCACCTTTGGGTGCCTTTGCTACTACCATGTCCCGGCTTCGTCACAAGTTGCAACCGAAGGCTCGTGCGGCAATCTACTTGGGAATTGCGGCAAACGAGCGTGCGTGGCGAGTGTGGGACTTGGGTGAAAGGCGCGTCGTCACATCTCGAGACGTGGTCTTCGACGAAGACAAGTTTCCGTCGAAGGAACCACCAATGCCGCAACACACCGTCGTACTTCCCGCACGAGAGGAGGATGAGGCGGTGGAGGTTCCATCACAAGTGGACAATGAAGCCGAAAGTGGAGGGGGGGAGAACGAGGAGAGCGATGACGATGTCGTGGAGGTGCCACCAACCGAGGAGGCAACTCCCTCCGCACCTTCTTCCCTACCATTGGCGTTGACCCGTGGGCGTCGTACACCTCGCCCCAACACGAAGTTAGCCGACTACGCTACGGTAGCCGTTGGGGAGTTGGATGAGGAGCGTGCGGCATATTGCTTCGCAACCATGGGAGATGACCCTCGCACCCACGCGGAGGCTTTGGCTTCTCCGGATGCACCTCTATGGAAGCAAGCGATGGAGAAGGAGCTAGCATCGATCAAGGAGAACGATGTGTTCGAGCTCGTCGACCCGCCGAAGGGTGCCTACTTGGTGGGGTGCAAATGGGTGCTTACGAAGAAGTTGGGAGCCGATGGGAGTGTCGAACGCTACAAGGCGAGGCTTGTAGCTCAAGGATACACTCAACGGGAGGGGGAGCACTATAGCGAGACTTTCGCTCCCGTCGCTAAGGCTACAACTCTTCGGGTGTTGCTCGCGTTAGCGGCATCCCTCAATCTCGAGGTGGAGCAATTGGACGTTTGCACCGCCTTCCTCTACGGGCTTCTTATGGAAGAAGTCTACATGCGGCAACCCCCGGGGTACGATGACGGTAGCGGAAGGGTGTGGAAGCTCAAGCGTACCCTTTACGGCTTGAAGCAAAGTCCACGCGGATGGTACAAGCGCATCGACGACTTTCTTCTTCAACACGGCTTCGCGCGTAGCGAGTGCGATAGCGCTTTGTACGTGTTGAAGGAGGGGGAGAAGCAATTGGTGCTTTTACTCTACGTCGATGACTTACTCCTCTTCTCCGACTCCAAAGACCTCATTCGGGAGGTCAAGCAACGGCTAGGGGCGGAGTTTGCTATGAGGGACTTGGGGCCGGTCACGTACTACCTTGGGATGCACGTTGACCGTGACCGAGCCAACGGGACCATCCACCTCCACCAAGAGAAGTATGTGAAGGGGGTAGTGGAGAGCTTCGGCATGGGCAATAGCAAACCGGTGGGAACACCACTAGCTACGGGGTTCTCTTGCCTCACGGAAGAGGAAGAATCCACCCTCGATGAAGCCGAAGGGAAGCGGTTTCATTCGCTAGTGGGCTCGCTCATGTATGCCGCCGTTTCTACTCGTCCCGATCTCGCATACGCCGCCGGGGTGCTTGGACGAGTCGTGAGCAACCCTCATACCGAGCATGTGCGCGCGGGAGGACGCGTTCTACGCTACCTCCAAGGCACACCTAACTTGGGGCTCGTGTATGAAGCCGGCCCGATTGAACTCAAGGGCTATGCCGACTCGGACTACGCGGGAGATCCGAGCACGCGCAATAGTACCTCCGGGTATGTCTTCACCTTGCTTGGGGCGGCCGTGAGTTGGCAAAGCAAGAAGCAACCAACCGTGGCTCTAAGCTCAACGGAAGCGGAGTATATGGCACTCGCTCAAGGTGCCATGGAGGCGATATGGCTGCGACGTCTTCTAGCGGAGCTTGGGCATCCTCAAACGAACCCAATTCCTCTCTTTTGTGACAACCAAGCCGCCATAAGCCTCTCTCACAACGCGGTCCTTCATGGGCGAACCAAACATATCGAAGTGAAGCATCACTTCATTCGTGAGGCAGTTGAGAAGGGTGAGGTCAAACTCACTTACATAAGCACCAAAGCTCAACCCGCGAACTTCCTCACTAAACCACTCCCTAAGGATTCATTCCGTGCATGCTGTGAGCGTGTTGGATTGAGCACCTAGTGGCTTGGGTGCAAGGGGGAGTGTTGGAGGTTGCGTGGGGCTAGGTTTTGCCCCCAACCACCGAACGGTGCTGCTCTTGCTTCTCACCTTCGAGTGAGCTGCAGGTTGGCGTGGGGCTGAAGATTGACTTCGGAAGACTCAACCAATTCGGTGCCACATGGCAGCACCAGAAAGTTCGAGACTTGAAGGAACATTCGGATGAGTGAAATTCGAGTGTCGAATTTCACCACTTCGAAATGTTACGAGAACATTCGCGAAGTGTAGCGATGCGATGTTACGAACGCGGTTCGATGTTGATTGCATGATATAAAACTAGTTGCTTTGTATGCATGTTTCATACTAAAAATCAGAGTTTTCTATACACGGTTCAACTCGACACAAAATCCAGAGACTTTCTATCCTTCAATCTTAGAGCACTACCTAGCACGTTGAAAGCCGTATCTCAGCCGATACTTGGGCGAATTACGTGTTCTACGGCTCCTTGGAAAGCCAAGAGTGTGCTCTAGTGATTAGTACAAATCCCAGTTCCTGCAAAGTAGAGGAGAGTCCTTTACATCAAGGCTCTAATTGAGCTGTTGGTCTATAATGTACAAAACGGCATGACGTCCGTGCAATGAACCACATGCAGAACTGCCTTCAAGATGAGGAGCCATCACGAGACACCTTATCCGCCAGTGGTTGCACCGTAAACACACCCCTTGCTCTTCCTCCCGGAGCCACAATGATTCCATAATAAGATTCGGGAAAATCCAGCAATCTCCCAATGATATCAGCGACGGTCATTCCTGCCCCTGCAAGAACGCTCCCTGCATTATAGCACCATCCGGATGAAGTGCACTTATAAAGCAGGCCCATCCTCCTCGCATCGCCTTGCTTTATCCAACCAAGGTCGAAGGGAGGACTATTTGTCACATTGGACCAAGTATTGGAAGGGAAATAAATCACGGGACCATTAGACCTGGCAGGGACGATTCCAGCAACAGTCGGGAAACCTTGGACGCTTAAAGCCCGCGTCCCAAATTGCGGGCCGCGAGGGTCAAGTTTTTAAAACTTGACGAAGTTGAGTGTCCAAGCTTTTGAAAGTCACGCACTTGCAATTTGGGACTTTCGAAGACAGATTCACTCACCAGGGGGAAAACCGAGGGTTGGCTGGGTCTCGCGAAAAAAACGAACCTAGACGAAATCGGAAACTCTCGCCAAAGCCCACACCAGAAAAACTCCCTCTGGTCAACTTTTAAAAGCATGAACAATTTGGGCCGCCGGCTTTAATCCGGTCAAGTGGAGCGAGTACCAAATGTTCACGCTGGTGGTATTGCGGAAAACGACCACTCGAATCACACCGCTGATATCGCCAACGCCTCTCAATGTCGCATCCGCATGAGCTGTCATGGAACAAGTTCAATGTTCGTGAGGGAAACGATACAACATGCGGCTCAGCCTGGCATGCCGTTTGGAGAAATAGGAATTACAGTGCGTCACTGTCAAGACGGCGTCAAGCGTTGATGGAGATGGTCGGTGGAGCTTACCCTGGTAACTTCCACGTGCATTTCTCAGTTGAGCCAGCCTTGTTCTTGCTGCAGAATTCTCTGCGTTTATTGATTCCGACAGTGTCTGGGGACCACTTAACTTCACAGAGTCATTGTCCAGCACGCGTCGGCCCTCTGAAAGGACACATTAGGCATTGGCGAAGTTTATGCGAGGTCTATAACAAGCAAGAAAACGATTTGGCAAAATAGCTACTACTTCTGGAATTAAGCTTCTATTTCAGACGTCGAATTCGTCCTCACCTGCTATGGATGCGTGAACGACGAGCAACAACCAGACGGCGAAAAGAGGTGTCTGCAGCCTCATGATAGACGGTCTTCTGTGACGGGGAGGTGGAAGGTGTAGTCAATCATCTCGAAGTGGCAGATAGGCATTGAAAGCGGTGGCAGATAAGCAATGAAACGATTGAGTATCCTCAAATGATCGAACAGGAGTGATAAATCCGTCCGACACCCGCTTTCCGCCATCATCAGCGCGATTGCCGCTAGAGTCCTAACCACCATCATCCAGCCATGCCGCGCGGCAGCTCTGAAACCCGCAGAATGCGCCATTGTCGGCTTCTGGAAGCTTTCCTGCGACGCGAGTCGCAGGCTCAGAGTCGCCGCCACCACAGGTCATCCCCATAAACGTGTCTGTCACACAGCTGGCAGCCATTATGAAAGGACGAGTCCGACAACCTCCATGATAAGAAACACCTTCCCACCATCCATGTGGTTTGACTGGCAATCGTGAAATTTGCAGTGAACCATTTCTGTTTGACGGTTTGTAGGCCAAGGCATGTTACAAGCGCAACGAAGCATTCGCTTGTCTGCGACAGATTCTGAGCTAATGAGCGATAACGAGTACAACGACGACTAGGGATGCATGGTTACTGCCGTTGAGGAAACTGGCCAAACCTAAGTGGTGCACGTGCAGCCAAAACAGGCAGTGTTGGAGGCATATGCAGCAATGTGGTGCATGTGGGAATCTGACATCAGGCACAAGAAGCAGTGCGCTAGTGCCAGTGGTGCTTGTTCGCACCCAAATGTTGAATTTCCAACGGGCATGCAAATCAGCTGGTAGGTTTGGTTTGGATGGTTACATTATCTTCTTTTCGTGAGGCTGTTGCCGAACATTCTCGTTTCAAACAGTCGTTACGCATGCATACACAGCAAATGTAATGCCACAAACACAAAATACATTTTTCTCCGGAAACCCTAAACACGAATACCCCAAGCATCAAACGTGAGAGATGCAATAAGTTTCGCACCCACTCCAGGCTTAGCACCTGACTGGTAAAAAGGTGCGAAACTTATAGCAATGCATCCATAAGGCCTACTATCAACTCCTCGCATCCACCCAAGCCTTACGAGAATTCCTAACGCCAAGTGTGGAACTTGCCAGCAGCAACGCCACCAGGAGCAGTGATACGGCCACTATAAGCTGCAGGAGCGGCAACCATGGCCACAGCAATAGACCCAATCGTCTTGTCGCCATCAGTGGTCTTCGTGTTCGCGTTGTAGTAAACCCCAGTAGCATTGTAACGGAAACACACACCACCGACCCATGCACGGTTGCGCCTCCTCCAGCCGTAGCCATAGGGCTGCTGGCCAGTGGTGTTGGTCCACGTGGCATCCGGGAAATCGAGTACAGTGTTGTCGTTATTCAGGACGGCGGCAGCGGTAGGAAGACCTGGGGTTGGGAGGCCGCCGATCCTCAGCACGTAACGGACGTTGTAGTCGGTGTTGTTCCTGATCAAAAACGAACACAGCACAATCGCCAAAAACGCGGTTCAATGGCACGTCGAAACGCGTACAGAAAACGGAGAAACCAAGGAGCAAAAAGTGCTTCAGGTTAAGCGTAAATGCTGCTATGCGTGAACAGTACTCACTTGAATACGACAACGTGCATGCGTCCAGTGATGTTGCCGGTGCCCGTCAGATCAGCCTCCACGTGGCCGTAGAACGTGCCCAGAGCGGCGCCAGGGCCCAGCCCGAGGCCCCCACCGGGTCCCCGTCCAGGCCCGCCCCTGCCTCCTCCGCGCCCCCCCCGAAATCCCGGTCCTCCGCGCCCTCCGCCGCCCCTGCCTCCACCATAGCCGGGTCCCTGGGCGAGAACCCCTGAAACGAGAGAAGAGAAACGTAAAGGTGAGAATACTGGCGACAGCTTCAGAACATATTGATCCTACATGTGATGGCGTCTTGCTGAGGATGTGGGATGCAAGAAAAGATTGGCCTCGCAGTCTTACCTGATGCGACGAGGCCGAGGAGCGCGAGGATTACCACAGCCTTGCTGAAACGTGCCATCACTGCGAAGATGAAATTATCGTATTTCGAGCTGCTAGGAAAATCGTTTGTTCAAAAAGCGTCTACAAACAGAGATGCTGGTGACGACTCTAGTTGCTTCAGAAAGTCGCTGCGTGTTGGTATAGGTACCAGGTGTTGGAGGTCGCGTGAGTTAGAAGCAAACGGTGGTGGGGCAATTGATATGCCCCCAACCCACCGAATGTGTTTCGGTGCTCACCGCTTGAGAGAGCTGCAGGTTTCACGAAGTGTGTGGGTTGACTTCGGAAGACCCACTCGATTGGTGCCACATGGCAACACAAGATGAATCGAGACTCAGGGAGAATTCGATTCGGTGAAATTCGAGAGTCGAATTTCACCCCTTCGATGTTACTCGAACATTCGAGTGTACCGCGGTTCGAGGTTACATGTGCGATTCGACGTTTTGCAGTTCATATAAATGTGTTTGCTTTTGTATTGCATGATATACTGAACATTCTGAATCACTTTGTATGAAGTGCATTCGAACACAAAATCCAGAGAGATTCCTATCCTTCAACATAGAGCATAGTCTTCACGTTTCCAGCTATAGCTCGCTCGTTTCTCAGGCGAACGAAGCAATTGACGGCTCGTTGGAAAGCTAAGACAGAGCTCTATCGTTTAGAACAATTCCCAGTTCCTGCAAAGTAGAGGAGAGTCCTTTACATCACCAGGTATGAACCACATACGCCATGATAAGTACGAAGTGTACATCCTAGTAGATTCATGGTTCTTTTCGTAGGGGAAGGTAGACACGACTGAGGAGAAGTTATGCCAGCAATGCAACGAGTGACGGAAAGTGGAGGTGAAATTACCACCAGACTGGCTCATGCATTGAAAAGGGTTTGCCCCGCGAGGTTCGATTTTCCAGCACTGGAATGAAGCTGTTGGTGGGAAAGGGGAGGCGTGCTTTCGCGAGAAATTTGCAATGTGGAAAGCGTTCTTCACGAAGCGTGGATGCTGGTCTCAACGGCTCCGATTTCTCCAGTCGGAAGGGTACTAGAGTTGTGCGGTTCGGCGAAGAATGGTTTCTGCTTCTTCGTGTTGGGAAACTTCTTGCGAAAGTGCTGTTGTCCGAAAATGGGCATCCTTGTTAGAAGCCCGAACTGACCAGCTCGTTACAAGGATCCCGCACAAAAATAAAAGAACACCTCCAGCATTTGCTAGAGCACTAACAACCTAAGTAATCAAGCTAAGCTGTCCGAAATCCAGGGCCAAGGCCATAGCTATCTGAGATTGCCTTCAGCATGGTTACCACATCATCAGTGGTTGCAAGAGAGTATCGCGCCAAAGACCGCTTGCGCCCCACAGCACATGAAAAGTAAGAATCGGCGGTGAGATCGACAATCGGGCAGTAATCCCCACTGCTGCGATGGCTTATTTCCTCCCCATGCCCATCCTCCTCAGAGTCCAACACAGTTGGAAGCATTGACGAGCTCTCCTGTGTAGAAAACCCTGACTCCTCTGAAACGCCAGTTGTCCCAGAATGACTTGAAAAGCTCGACAGGTTGGAAAACCCAGTGATCGGCGCAAGCAATCTCTCTCCCGCCTCCGCTCCATTTGCTTCCTCTCGCCTTCCACTCCCGTTCCCCACGCCCTGAGCACCAGCAGCATTGCTTGCAGCTGGGGAACATAGCTCCGCCTCCCCCCTCCCGCCACTGCTGCTTCGCCCCATGCCGGTTTTTCTCGGGCTGCCCGTGGCGCCTTCCAGAGCTGACCCGAGAAGACTGACCAGTGACGGCGAGGAGAAGGAGAAGGCAGATTTCTTCTCAGACTTCTTGCTCCCTTTCCACCGGAACCCTCCCAGCCCTCCCCCTCGGATCCTCCCACTACTACTCCCACCCACCCCACCAGCCCCTGCCCCGGCTAGTGCTGCTCTTCCCTCCGACCCTACTGCATCTCCATCGGTGCTCCCTCCACCCCGCGACTCGGCCTTGAGCCGGCTGCTGCGTGCTGTGACAGAGTCGGGAGTGTGGGGTCGTGGGCCGGCGTCAGAGAGCGCAGCAGCAGCAGAGAAAGAGGGAGAGGGTGAGCTAGGACCAGCAGCAACCGAAGCACCAGTGGCAGCTGCTGAGGTAGCAGCAGCAGCAGCAGCAGCAGCAGCAGCAGCAGCAGCAGCAGCAGCAGCAGCAGCAGCGGTGGCAGCAGCAGCAGCGGCGGCAGGGGAGGCAGCACCATCCCTCCCCGGGTGTCTTCCCCCACCCTCCATTTGGATTCTGCTATGCGAATCCCCAAAAATCACACGTGCCACCAGCGGCCCCGAACCTCCCCCCCGAGCCGCTGACTGCGGCACGGGGCTGCCGTATCCTGGTCCGGCAAACATAGGCAGCGGCGCCGAGCCCAGGCTGTCAGGACCAGGAACGCTCGGAGGAGGTGCGGGAGGCAGGCCCGTGGGAGGCTTGGTGTCAGGAGGAGGATTGGAGCGGTCATGAGCAGCGGTGAGAGTGCTTGTAGCGGTTGTGCTTGTATCGAACGTGGTGGTAGGGCTGGTAGTGTAATACTCTGGAAGGTATGAATCAGCATGCTCAAGAGCCGTGATATGATCCCTCGTGACTTGATCCATGACTGCCCCGTCCAAAGACGCATGACCCATGGCTACCATGTTACCATCCATGGATACACCGCAGTTACCATCCATGGGACCCATGGTGCCGTCCATGCTCTGCTGGTAACCGTCCATGCCAGGCGGCATGTTGTTGTCATGCGGCAGGTCTGGCTCAAAGAACTGGTATATGTCCTCGTCCTGTTGGGTGGGGTGGGGAATGGGAAAGCGGGGGAGAGGGATGTGGGGGAGAGAGAGCAGAGGGTTTGAGGGCAATGGAATTAGAGTCTGGTTTAAAGAGCTGGTATATGTCCTCGTCCTGTGCGGGCGTGGGGGGGAGGAAGGGGATGGAACGGGGAGGTTGAGGTGCCTAGAAAAAACAGGTTGGGTTCAAAGAATTGCTATATGTCCTTCACCTGTTGGCGAGGGAGATGAGGGGTGAAAGGAAGGGAGGTAGGGGTGTGTGTGATGCTTAAAAAGAACTGGCATATGTCGTTGTCCTGTTGGCGGGGAGGGGAGGGAAAAAAGGGGGTTAGAAAAGGGAGAATTGCGGCATCAGAAAAGCAGGTCAGGTAAGGGGAAAGGGCAGGTTGAGAAAAAGGTGAGCTGGGAAATGTTGGGGAAGATATGGGAAAGCAGTGCCAGATGACGGGAAAGGCCCAGGTGTGAGCGGCAAGCCTCATGTGCGAGAGGAATGACTTGGCTCACCCGTGAGAGGAAGTGGCCGACGGTCATGACGAAGTCAAAGGGGCACGGCAGCGGCTTCTGATGCACTATCTCCCCCAACACCCTCTCCATGGCCGCTCCCTTGCTCACCCCCACCGGCCGCACCTCCACTGACTTTCCACCCTGTGAGGGGGAGCCCAGGTGAGCAAAGGGGGAAAGGGCGAGAGGCATAGCATGCTTCTGAGATTACTGCACCGAGAGGGAGAACGAGAGGGAGAGAGAGGGGCAGGTGAACGAATCACAGTATCTCCCCCAACACTGTCTCCATCGCTGCTCCCTTGCTCACTCCCACCGGCTGCACCCACTGACTTGCCTCCCTGCGATGGGGAGAGTGGGTGGGCAAGAGGGAAAGGGCGAGGGGCATAGCACGCACGCGCTTGAGTCAATTCAACAGGGATCAAGAGCGGGGGAGAGACATGAACAGGGTGAACGAATCACACCATCTCGCCCAACACCTTCTCCATGGCTGCCCCCTTGCTCCCCCCACAGGCTGCACCCACAGACTTGCCGCCCTGAAGGGGGAAGGGGGAAGAAGGGGGAGTGATACTTAGGGATGCTAGGATCACGGAGTGCAAGCACACGAGGGGGGCATCGGTAGTACATGCACGCATCAGGCAGCATCAGGCAGCACCAGGCAGCACCAGGAAGTACCCGCACCAGGAAGTACCCGCACCAGGAAGTACCCGCACCAGGAAGTACCCGCACCAGGAAGAACCCGCACCAGGCAACATTTGCACAACATCCACAGCCGTGTTGGAGATGGGTCCCGTCCAGAGGTGCTGCAGCATGTCCCGGGCCTGCACGCGGCCAAACTCCCCGTCTCTTGCCTGTGTGCGTGTTAGGGAGTTGACTCACAGAGTGCTTGAATTGAACCTTAGACCAGGCACAAGGAGCACCTGATCATACCTGCACCACGTCCACAGCAGTGTTGGAGATGGGTCCCGTCCACAGGTGCTGCAGCATGTCTCTCGCCTGCACGCGGCCAAACTCCATGTCGGGATACTTGTAGTTCCACACCCATCTGTACCATTTGCACCAGTGCATACCTGCACCACATCTACTGCCGTGTTCGAAATTGGCCCCGTCCACAGGTGCTGCAGCATGTCTCAGGCCTGCACGCATGCTGTTGACACCTGCACTACACCAGGCAGCACCTGCACCAGGCAGCACCTGCACCACGTCGACTGCAGTGTTTGAAATCGGTCCCGTCCACAGGTGCTGCAGCATGTCGCGGGCCTGCACGCGTGCCTTTGAGTCGACTCAGTCGAAACAGCACCTGCACCAGGCCGTACCTGCCACCACGTCCACAGCAGTGTTGGAGATGGGTCCCGTCCACAGGTGCTGCAGCATGTCCCGGGCCTGCACGCGGCCAAACTCCACGTCGGCATACTTGTAGTTCCACACCAGTGATGTCTCCCTCTCCTCCACGTGCCGTGCTGCAGCACGTCCCTAGTGACCTAGTCCGCACGTGCATGAGAAACAGCACCACCTGCGGATGTGAAATAGCTGCTGGAGGAGCTGCATCCAGTCTTACCTGCACCACGTCCACTGCAGTGTTTGAAATCGGTCCCGTCCATAGGTGCTGCAGCATGTCCCGGGCCTGCACGCGGCCAAACTCCACGTCGGCATACTTGTAGTTCCACACCAGCGACGTCTCCCTCTCCTCCACGTATGACCGCGGCGTGCGCTCCGTGAAATACTCAAACACCAACTGGCAGGATGATGATAGGAAAACGCAAGAGGGTGGAGGTGGGGAAAGGGGTGGGGGGGGGATGGTGAGGATGCAGGAAGAATTGTCTTTCCACACCAGCGAGGTCACCCTCTCCTTTATGTATGACCTTGGTGCGCGCTCTGTGAAATACTCAAACACCAACTGGGTGTGGGTGATGGGGAGAGGGAGAGGGAGAGGGAGAGGGACGGAGGGTGGGAAAGGAAGGGGCGTGATGGGAAGGGAGATGCTGGTTGCACCTAAACCCCAACAAAGAGGTCTCACTCTCCTCTCCTCTCACCCGCCCCTCTCAGACTATCACCTCCCATACCCCTAACACACCTGCACCGAGTAAAGCCAGTCCATACTAAGGTGATGGGCGTGGTGGTCATCCATTCGCCCATGACGTGTTGAGGCGCCAACCACGACAGCACCTGTCCATCCACTGGTCACCTGCACGCACCCCCTCCCTCTCACTGCCCCTCCCTCCCTCCTCACCTGAACAGAGTCCAGCCAGTCCATGTTAAGATGCTCGGGCATGGTGGTCATCCACTCCCCTCGTGTGTGCATGCATGAACATGCCGTTCTCCACAGCCAGCCACACATCTAACTTTGAGAAGGAGAGAGGCAGACATGCCTCCCCTCTTACTCACCTGCACTACATACAGCAGCGCCTACTCACCTGAACAGAATCAAGCCAGTCCATGTTGAGGTGTTCGGGCATCGTTGTCATCCACTCCCCTCTCGTGTGCCGCATGAACATGCCGTTCTCAGCCGCCAGCCACACGTCGTACTCGCTGAATGCCTCGTCCAGCACGGCACGCTCTGACCCACTCATTATGACAATCGTGTTGGCCGGGTCGGAGGAGAGACGGCGCAGCGCAGCCGGCATTATGGGATGCAGACGCACCTGGTTGGGGGGGAGAGGGGGGGGGGGGGAGAAGGAGGGGGCATGGCATGGGTACAGGGGGGGATGGACATGGGGATGGACATGGGGATGGAAATGGATTTGGGCTGAGACATAGAGATGTGATCTGTCTGACAGCCTTGCCCCCTACTCCCCTAGTCCATAGCCTCTCACGCTCTGGGTGAAGGTAGGAGGCAGGCAGAGGGATCAGGTGGGGTGCGGAGAGAGTTTAAAGCCCTAGACGCTCCACACTCCAAGCAACCCTCAACCTGCCTCCTCCTACCGTCATCTCTGTGATCTGAATCACGGTAAATCACCGTAACACCCCTCTGCCTGCCACTCACCTTCATCTCCTTGATTTGGTCAGGAGTGCGTCGCCTGTGTGGCTCCACCTGGGCTGTCAGCGTGCCGTTGTAGCCCTGGGGGTGAGGAGAGAGACACACGGGCAAGGGAGGAGAGGGCGCGGGAGAGTTGCGACAGGGACGAGGGGTGAGTGGGCAGGGGCCAGAGACGGGGACATGGGCACAGGAACTGAAGAGGCAAGAAGCAAGGGCACGTGCTTGGACATGCTTCATGCAATAACATGTCATTCCCCAATACCATTTCCCCAATACCATTTCCCCATTACATCTCATTTCCACAGTCGCATTCCCGCAATCTCATTTCGCACTCAATCGGCACACAAGAGGCCATAGGGAACATTTTTTTGTCGACTAAAAAATACACACGAGGCCATAGGGAACATTTTTTTGTCGACTAAAAAATACACACAAGAGGCCATAGGGAACATTTTTTTGTCGACTAAAAAATACACACAAGAGGCCATAGGGAACACAACACGCACGAGGATGAGGAGGCGGTTGCGGCACTGGTGAAAGCGGTCGACACACTGGGCCACAGGCAGCAGTGGGGGGATGTGCAGTGTGCGCAGCTGCGCCTCCACCACCGTGTCATTCAGCTCGCTGTGGGCGAGTGGGGAGGGACAGGGAGGATGTAGGGAAGGGAGAGGAGGAGAAGAGAGAGCATGGCAGAGAAGCACAGGAGCCGCATTCATCCAGTGTGCGTAGCTGAGCTTCCACCACCGTGTCATTCAGCTCGCTGTGGGACGGGGGAGGGAAGAGGGTCCGGGAGGGATATGTGACGTGCGGGTGCGGGTGGGGGAGGGAGGTCGCACTTCCAGCGGCGAGAATCTCAGCTAGAGACAACGGGGAGAAACGGGCCAGGATAGAACGCAAAAAGCCAAGACATGAACATGGCGGCCCCACTGATACCACCACTGCTCCTCCTTCCACTCGCACTACCTGACAAAAGTGTCCGCCCAGGCCTGCGCGGTGTGCGTGGTGACATGTAGGAAGTTGTATCGGTGGCGGTCCACGCGCTCCTCCTCGCCCATCGTGAGAGCGTCCTCGATGGCGCTCGACATGTCCGTTATGTTCCATGGATTCACCAGCAGCGCCCCCGCCCCAAGTGATTGTGCTGCGCCTGCAAACTGCACACCAAAGTAAGGGACAGAGGAAATGTGGAAAGGGAGGTGAGAGCATCCTCGATGGCGCTCGACATGTCCGTGATGTTCCATGGATTCACCAGCCGTGCACCTGCTTCGAGTGACTGTGCTGCGCCTGCAAACTGCACACCAAGGGTTTCGGATTCAACATGGGAAGAGATGTTAAGGGACGTGGGGAGGGAGGGTGAGAGCGTCCTCTATTGAGCTCGACATGTCCGTTATGCTCCATGGCTTCACCAGCCGTGCACCTGCTCCCAGTGACTGTGCTGCGCCTGCAAACTGCAATTGAGAGACAATGGATAATCAGGATGGGAGTGGATGTTGAACGAAGGGTGGGAGCATCCTCGATGGCGCTCGACATGTCCGTTATGTTCCATGGGTTTACCAGCAGCGCCCCGCAACTAGCTTCTGTGCTGCCCCTGCAAACTGCATCACCGAGATTCGGGGCGTGAGGTTCAGGCACCAAAGACAGAAAAAGCTTCCGGGGTATAGGAGCTCGTTGTACAGATGACATGGCACGGCAAGCGTGCCTTACTGAGTACCAGCACGCCCTTGGATCACATGCTCCGGCACAGCATACACAGCGACGCGACGACACAACACACACCTCACACACCTCCCTGTGGATGAGTACGTGTGCAGTGCACACCTCACTACGAATGCCCGGAAGGGCATACGTTGCTGAGGATGAACAACTGAGCGCACGCCACTAAAAATGACCAGAAGGCCTGAAGGGCATACCTCGCTGAGGATGAGCACACCCTTCTTGTAGTTCTGGCACGCCACGTACTCGTAGCTGACCAGGTTCATACCGTCCCGCAGCGACGTCACCAGCAGCACATCCGTTATGGCGTAGAGCGCGCACAGCTCGTGGAATGCCAGTGAGCGGTCCTGGAATGTGAAGGGGAAGGAGGAGGGAGATATGAGATGGTGAGGGGGAGTAGCCAGCAGGAAGCCAGTCACCAGCAGCACGTCCGTTATGGCGTAGAGCGCGCACAGCTCGTGGAATGCGAGGGAGCGGTCCTGAAGGGGGGAGAGATGGGACAGAGGGGACAAGAAGGGGAAGGCGGTAAGGAGAAGCCGTAACCAGCAGCACGTCTGTGATGGCGTAGAGGGCACACAGCTCGTGGAATGACTTTTGAGACATAGAGGGCGTAGAGGGCACACAGCTCGTGGAATGCGAGGGAGCGGTCCTGAGCAGGGGGAGGTGGAGGCAGCAGCAGGGAAGCAGGGGGCCAAGGGGCAGTGAGCAGCCGCACATCCGTGATGGAGTGGAGCGCACAGAGCTCGTGGCATGGCAGGCAGCGAGAGGGAGGGCGTGGGGGGGGATTAAGAGGAGGGAGGGGGGTGATGGCGTGGCGCGGGGGCCGAAGGGAGGAGAAAGAGGGGAGAAGGGAGGGGGAGAGGGGGGGAAGGGGGGGGAGGAGAGGGGGGGAAGGGGATGGGGAGAGGGGGGGACGGGGGGGAGAGACGGGGGATGGGGGGGAGAGACGGGGGACGGGGGGGAGAGAGGGGGGGACCGGGGGGGGGAGAGGGGAGGAAGGGGGGAGGGAGAGGGGGGGGAAGGGGGGGTGATTGGGGGGGAAAGTCGGGGGGAAGAGGAATAAGAGGAAGCTGCCACCAGCTTCCCAAGAGGAAGGGTCTTCAACGCCAATAGTTCACAAGTGGACGTGGGAGGAGGCAATGCTGTAGGGATGGGGCTCGGGTTGCATTGCAGCTCATGCATCGCATCATAGACTACAAAGATCAACGGTGGTGATTGGATCGTACCAAGTGATGGATGGGCACGGTGGTGAGGGTGCCAAATCGACCGTTGATTCGCCCCACAATCTCATGCACCAGACTGGTCAGCTTCTGGTCTGGTGGAGGGCAGGGCGAGAAGAGGGCAGAGGAGGAGACGGGAAGTTGAAGAGCGTCTACATTGTGAACGCCATTCATTCATACCCTTCACTGCGAGCTTCAACAGCGATGGGTATGAATGACTGCATTGTGGCACACGCCAGCGTGTGTGCGCGGAGATCATTATGGAATGCAAAAACAGACCCATGATGCACTCACACCTAGACAACCAGCGCCACCACACTTCTGCACTCACACTCGGGCACGTCGGTGAGAGAGGGCACGGCGATCTGCACAAGAAGGACCTTGTCGTGCCAGATGGGGTGCTGAATACAAACCCCCCTTACCACACCACACTCAGGCACTCATGCACAGTTGCCAGCAGAGTCCCACTCACATTCGGGCACATCAGTGCGCGAGGGCACGGCGATCTGCACGAGGAGGACCTTTTGAGTCAACTCAGAGAATTCAAACACCCCCCCCACCCCACCACACTCAAGCACTCGAACTCCAACACTCACACTCGGGCACGTCAGTGCGGGAGGGCACGGCGATCTGCACGAGGAGGACCTTGTTGCGCCAGTCGGGGTGCTCCTCGAGAAACTTCTCAAACGCGATCAGCTTCTGCGGTATGCCCTTTATCATGTCCAGCCGATCCACGCCCAGCATCACCTGCAAAAATATGAGTGGAGCGGAGTGTAGAGGAGTGGAGGGGAGTGATGAAAGCCTTTACCATGTCCAACCAATCCACCCCTCTTACCCTCCTGTGCAATACCTTTTCCTCCCTTGCATCCCCTCTCTCCTCACCTGTCGGCCGGAGAATCGCGCTCGCAGCTCTGCGATGTGTGTCTTGACCACGTTGCTCTCCTCGCGTTGCCCTCTTGTGTACGCTTTCTTTCCTCGCCTTGCCTCACCACCCCTTCCCCCCCTCCCTTCCCCCACCTTTCCTCACCTTGCGGCCGGAGAATCGCGCTCGCAGCTCCGCGATGTGTGTCTTGACCACGTTGCTCTCCAGGGCTGAGATGAACCGCTCTGGGTCTATGCCAATCGGGAACTGCCACGTGGCACAGCACGGATGAAGGGCACGAGATAGAGCAAATTTCACACACCAAACACAATGTACACAGTACATGATAGATAATAAACAATATTGCACATACATATGTAGCATGCAGGTGCACCAGCCGTGCCCACACTCACCGCAGCAACGCGTGTGAGCCTGCCGTGGTCCTCCACCCCCTCTGGCGTGCCCTCCAGCCCGAGAATGCGCGCACACGCACTCACAAAGTGCCGCCCGTAGTCATACGTGTGGAAGCTGGGACAGTGGTGGGAGGGAGAGGGGAGCGGGAGGGCAAAAACGACAGGAGCATGGAGGGGTACCTTGAGACCTCTGGTGTTGTAACCCTCTTAACAGCACACCTCCAGCCCCAGAATGCGCGCACACGCACTCACAAAAAGCCGCCCGTAGTCATACGTGTGGAAACTGGAGGGGGAGGGGGGGAGGGGGGAGGTGGGAAGAGTGGGGGTTATAGGTATCGGAACAAAAGAAAGGATAAGATCAGTAACGAGCAGGGCCCGTAGCAGACTCTCCTCTCTCAGGGTCAGGGGCAGCTAACTTTGAAGTCTTCACGTGATCTTGTCCACTAAAGAGCCAACTCCCATGACCCACTCACGCCATGAGGACACCACATGCACGGCCTGCAGGTAACCCTTCCACATTTGTTCTCGTTACAAAGTGACCCATCAACTTCTCCCACTCGCCCAGCCCACTCACCCAATGAGGTCAGCAGCGAGCACGGCCTGCAGGATCTCCTCTCGGAGGGGCAGCGCTCGGAAGAACTCGCTGGAGGGGAAGGGCGTGTGCAGGAACCACCCCACCTTCATGCTGGGAGGGGGATGCAAGACGGGGGACAAGGGGGGGGCATACATGAGAAGGGTTTTAAGTGAAGAAGGAAGGGCGTGTGCAGGAACCATCCCACCTTCATGCTGGTCGGGGGATGGTTGGAGAGGTGGGGAGGGAGTGCATAACCAACCAGCCAGGTACACATTCGCAAGCACTGCAACGGGCCACGCGCGTGCACGAAATGAAGGTAGCAAAGGGAGGACACGATAGATTTGTTACGCTACCTCTGAGCCAGCTGAACACTCACTTGGGGCTGCGGGCCTTGAGGTACTGAGGCAGCAGCATGAGGTGATAGTCATGCACCCACACGATGTCCCCCTGGCGGTACTGGGCCATGACCACGTCAGCAAAGCTGTGATTGGCGGAGCGGTAGGCGCCGTACTGGCCCTGGATGGAGCGCGTGGCGGAGAGGCGGTCCTCCTGGGGCAGGCCGATGTAGTGCAGCAGCGGCCATAGCACGTTGTTGCAGTACCCGTTGTAGTACGCGTTCATTGTATTCTCGTCTAGGAAGACGGGTACACAGCCCTGGTGGCATGGCCAAAAAGAAGGGCACGGGGGGAAAGAGGAAGAGAAGGTGGTGTGAGTCTGAGTGTGCTTTGAGTCGACCCACAGCAGTAGCAGTTGTGGTACGCGTTCATCTTGTGCTCGTCCAGGAACAACGCCACACAGCCCTGGTGGCATGGGTGGATAAGAAGAGAGAAAGCAGAGGGGCATGGTTGCAATCACCAGACATTCGTCATGCCTCTGTGCTCGCTTCTATGTGCTCCGCACCTGTACCCCTAGTAGAGTCCCTCTATAAAGCCCTCGTATAAAGCCCCCTCTCGTATAGCCCCACAGTCAAGCCCCTCGTATGAAGCCCCTCGTATGAAGCCCCTCGTATGAAGCCCCTCGTGTGAAGCCCCTCGTATGAAGCCCCTCGTATGAAGCCCCTCATATGAAGCCTCTCGTATGAAGCCCCTCGTATGAAGCCCCTCGTATGAAGCCCCTCGTATGAAGCCCCTCGTATGAAGCCCCACCTTGGCCTGCAGGGCGTCGTGAAGCTGCTGCTGGTCTGCCGGCGAGTGCAGGTACAGCCCCGGCCACCCAATCCAGCACGTCTCAAAGTTCTGCTTCACTCCTGCATGCATTGCACAGGAAGAGGGAGAGAGTATGGGTGAGGTGTAGGTGGAGCAGGGATGGAACAATGCCTATCACTCCCAGCAGCAAGCCTGCCATTGACGCCTGCAGATACAGCCCCGGCCACCCGATCCAAAGTTCTGCTTCACACCTGCATGCAGTGGAGGGGAATAGGTGCAAGGGTGAGGAGGCTGCAAGCATTGACGCCAACAAACCGGCGCCCACCCAGCAGCATCATTCAGGCAGCTATGGAACTCACCTAGCAGCGCGCTCACAAGCCCCCCAGCAGACAGCTCCAGAGCCCACGTGCCGTCGGGCTGCAGGCTGGCCCGCACGGGCAGGCGGTTGGCCACTATCAGCAGCCGCTGCATGCGCTGCTGGGCGGCTGGCGCGGGCGGCGGGGTCGGCGGAGGTTCCATCTGGGGAGGCTCGACTGGTACAGGCTGAGGGATCGCTGCTGCTGCTGCTGCTGCTGCCATGGCTGGTCCTGCAAATGCTGCTGCTGCTGCCGCCGCCGCTGCTGCTGCTTCTGCTTCTGCCTCTGATGCAAGAGACACTGCTGCAGCTGGTCCAAATGGCTCAAGCATCCGGCCTGGGTCTAGAACATGACTAGGGGTGCCTGGCCTACCGCCCATCCTATGCTGTGGTGATGCTACAGCCGGCCCTGCTACAGGCGACCCTGCTACAGCCGGCCCAGCTACATCCGCCCCCGCTACAGCCGGCCTCGCTACAGCCGGCCCTGCTCCCCCTGCTCCCATACCCCCCGGAACAGCCACTCCCGGACCCGGAATCCCAGCCACCCCTGGCAGCACAGTCACCCCCGGACTCGCACTCCCCCCTCCCACCTCCCCCGCTCCCATTCCCTCTTCAGGAATCCTATCCGTCAAACCTGACGCCTGTGCCGCTGCAGCAGTGAGCTCCCCACTGCTCTGCACACGCGGCATGGCGCCCCCACCCCTGAACCCCGGGTAAGCTGTGAGGGAGGAGGACAGGCGAGGCGTGGAGCCCAACGGACGTGGGATAGCTGGTGATGAGGCCATATGGGGGGATGAAGAGAGAGGGTATGGTGAGGGGACGGCAGAGGGGAGACGGGGTGGTGTGGAGGTGTAGGGAGTGGGAATGGAGGAGCTGTGGGGGGTGTGAGCGGCGGCAGCAGCAGCCAGATTGTCATAGCTGGAGTTCCGGCTGTCCGGACCTATCATCAGGTTTACCGGGGCTAGCGGCCCGGACCTGGTGCCTTGGGCGGCCGAGCCAAACGCGAAGTTGCCTCGGGAGGCCGTGCTGGCTCGGCCAATCATGGGCGCTCGCCCTGGCACCCACGCTGCGCCTGGCCCCCCTCCTGCTCCCCCCCCTCCTCCCCCTCCTCCCCCTCCTGCTCCCCCCCCTGCGCCCATTCCCGGTGCACCTCCTGTTGCTCCAGGAGCTCCTGCTATTGACCCAGCACTGCCGTGTGACGTGGCAATGCCACGTGGCGTCATTATCCGCCCGTCCACAGAGTCCACGTCGAACTGGAGGAAACTCGTGCTGCGCCTCATCTGCCTCTCCCTCAGCAGCCGCTCAACCCGGGTGGAAGACTGAGAGGGTGGTATCGACCGAGGGGTAGTTGGCTGCCGGAGGAAATTACCCATGGAATTGTTGAAACTGCCCGAACCAACAGTGGAAAAAGAGCCGGAATTGGAAGGCCCGTTGGCTGACGCGGCGGCTGCTGCTGCCTGCGCAGCTTGGACGGCTGCGATTGCATCTTGGGCGGCCTCCTCGTAGGATGAGGAGAGGCCTCGGTAGAAAGTGGGACGACGGGGTGTGCCTGGCATATTCATTCCTTGCAGCTGCTGCTGTTGCTGCTGTTGCTGTTGCAGTTGCTGCTGCTGCTGCTGCTGTTGCTGCTGCAACTGGGTTAGGTGCTGGTGAAGCGGGTACAGCAGCTGCTGCACCTGCGCCTGCACCTGTGGCGGGTGAGCCTGTAACCCATGCCTCTCCGGCCCACTGGTGACACTGGCGCTGCCGCTCGTAGCATGCGCCAGCCTGGCGATCTCCCGCGGGGTGGAAAGAGAGAATCTCCGCTGGATCCTGCCGCCCTCAAACCCGAATCTTGATCCAGATGCACCTCCCCCGGGTCCACCTCCTCCAAGTCCACCTTCCCCGCTCACTCCCCCCCCTCCCCCCCCCGCGCCGTAACTGGCATCACCACCACCCAGCCTCCCCGCGCCGTCTCCTGCTGCGTAACTCCACGGATCCCTGCCTGCTTCCTGGAAGCTTCGCACGTCCGCATCCTGACTGGGAACGCGAATAGCCCAAGGCCCGGCGTCATAGTGCCCTCTGCCCGGCCCCCCCGACCCCCGCGCTCCGCCTGCTGCGCCAGCGGGTGCTCCGCCAGCTGCGGTTCCGATTCCCCCGGGGGTGAAGTTGCTGCTGAGGCTGCTTCTCCGCGGGGGGGCTTCCGCCGATCCATCTTCCGCGGCGCGGTCGGGGGGTTTGATGGAGAGGGAATAGCGCGTGGGCGCCATGGGGAGGAGATGAGCTGATTCTTGTAATTATCCAAAATCCAACTGATGAAAGTCCGACTTTGGGTCAGAAGATCGGCCTAGCGTCTCATGACTTCAAATGACTTTCAGCCGCAATTCTCATGATTTACGAGAGCTTGAATGGGTCTGAAGCGCGTAAAACCAATGGTGAGATTCTAGGAAAGAGTTATCGAAGGCCGGATATTGTGACTGGCACGGCATGAGGCAGTATGAAAAATTCTGCAATACTACTCCTGGAATCGCTAGAAAGCGCTTGCTTTGCTACCGCACAGTGACAGCACAGCAGCAAAGGTCAACGAAAGCGCCAGCTCTTCGCCAAAAGGGTGCTCGCAATAAGAAACTCTCGCAGTCTAAGCACGTAGAACACATGTCGAATTGATTGCGAAAACATATGGCCATGCAACACGAAGGACCTGTGTTTACGAACATGCGAGAGCCTTGACGATTGTGAGCACTATTAACTACGAGGTCGTCCTGTGAAGAAACTCTTGCTACCTACTGAAGCAGAAGAAACGAATTGGCACAACTAATGGCTGGCTGTCACATCTTGTGCTAGTGGTCTGACACGGAACTGACAGTCGGAGTGCTTTGCCTGTAACGAGGATATCCTCGTCTTAAATTTCCCCACCTGACAAACAAGCTCAAAAGAGCATCATCCTTTACGGATTGGTGTGTGTGGCCAGTGCTGGGCCAACATGATGTGTCAGTTGGGCTACCAGTTGACGTGGCATATCAGAGGCTTCCGTGGTGACGTTTAACTAAGCTCTAAAACCTTTTCTGACACCAAGTTCCTGTCGCACAAATATCACAAATTTTCCGAGTTTCGGCAGCCCGCGGCTCACCTCGAGATTTTGCAGTGTGGCTGCATTTAGTGTTCCTGTAACGAGTTTTCATTTGCCTTGACCTTTGGAACTCGAGGTTGGGTATGGCGTTTTGAACCGAACCTGAATGGCTCGGCGCCGTACCAGGCTGCAAATTCAGCTGCTCCAGCTAGAACGGAGGATGGCGTTTTTGCGTAAGGACCGCCAGCGTGTCTTTAGTACTCGTCAGAGTTACGATGCGCGTTTCAACGGCGGAAGAGTAACTTACCAGGACTAGGGACGAGCTGACAGAGTGAGGCCTAGGTTGATTCAAGCGATTCCACGCTAAGATCCTCGCCTCTCGCATCGTAGGGTGTGAAGGATTTGCGATGAGGGTTCTAACGTTGGCTCCCGCTCTGGCCACGTTCGTTATAGTAGTCCTCGGCGAGGTGATCTTGAGAGCACTTCGCCGCTTCCTCCCGGTACGCGCGTCGACTTCATGATTGCCCCAGATATAATATATACCCGTAGTATCTCTTCATGCGCCCCGTTGATTCGCAAACGAAGCGATCCCAGCCTTGCTTTCATACGTGAAGCTCGTCTGGCACGCGTTCTCCTCGTTATATGACTTCCTCGTGTTCTCATAACGCACCCTTGGTGGTTCGAGACCGGACTCGGAACATACCTTATTAACGCCATAACGCGGGGCTTGTCTAACGCACGTTTCCGTGGCCAGGAGAATCTTTCAGCGCGGAAAGAGGCGGCTCTTGCGGCGGAGATAAAGCGCCTAAAGAAAGAGGCGAATCGGTTGAACGCGTCCTGCACATCGAGATCTTGCTGATTCTTGCTGTGTCGTTCATTTATGGAACTCCCACATGCTTTTCGGTTGGTAGCCTCCCATCGTCGTCATTTCTCCCCTGGAGCTCGTTCTTCTTTCCCCGGTCCGCATCGTCCCCCGTCCTCTTGCTTTCCCAGATCTCACTCTTCCCCCTACCTCATTCTTCCCCCGCCCTCATTCTCCCCCCGCCCTCATTCTTCCCCGCCCACAGCCCCAGCACCTTCTCTCGCTCTGCACTTCTAACTCGCACTGCCACCGCCAAGGAGAAAGAGCTGAACGCCTGTATGTGATGTGAATCGCCGCGCATGATGCTCATCCTGTCATGGAATCTCTCCACTTATTCTTGGACATGTTCCTTTCATGTGCTTTGTTTTCCGATCCTGTGTTTGCCTCTGCACATGCGCAAGTCCTTCGTTCCGTCCCTCCTGTGCGCATTGGCAGTGAAGGCGCAGCCATCCCGTGTCTGGTGGACGCTGATTCGCTTCGTCCTCCCATACACCATACAGGTACATCCACGGCATGTACACATGCAGATGCGCTTGCACATGCACATGCACATGCACATGCACATGCACATGCACGTGCACATCGTATACGGCATGCACGTCTTCACGCAAAACGACTCTATGTGGGTGGTGGATGGGCTTACATCGTCTGGCCTCTGGTCGATCGGTCCAAGCACCGTCGCCACTGAATTGCGAATTTCGAATCATGAGGCATCTCATTTTTGAAACGTCCCACAAATGTGTTCCAGCCTATGACTCAGTTTTGCTTTTCTTTCTCTCGTTCCACTCTGCACTCGTGTGCAGGCATGTGCGTATGTGCTGCTGGTGCTCTCATTCCGCTCCAAGCCCGTCGTCATTCTGCCGGTGGACGTCGTCTATCCATTCGGTAAGCACTGCTGCACGGTTAGTAGGTTACCCTTCCACTGCCAGCCGCTGTGCCCCTGGATTTTCCCGTGCTGTTTTGTTTCCTGTTTAGGTGTAGCTGTCCCAACTTTGATCCAATGCGATTTAGTAACTTATTGACTTGTTCATGTATTTATTCTTTTACACATGCTCCTTGTTCACCTATTTGTTCCGCATCTCTGTGTGTAGGGTCAATGCTTGCATTCCCTCATGGAGCCAAGTGGCAAGGAGGCGGAGCTGTGAGTGCCTTCACCCTCTTATGCCCCCCCCATCCGTTACACATTACCTTTTTAAAATAATTTGCTTTGTTACGTTGCATATCTCTGCCCCATGTCAGGTAGCTGCATGTCGCCTATTCAGCAGCCCGGACCTTGTGTCAGCACGCATTTATCCATACATGAAGCATTTCCAACTGCAAATCTTGCATTTTCAATATACGGTCTTTGCATCTCATTTTCTCCCCTTCCAGGTCTCGGTATTCGCTTGGCTGGCGCTCACGTCAAGAGTAGGTCGACTTTTAGCTGACCAGGTCATTTCAAGATGATGTACCTAAGATTATTTTTGTTGAGTATGTAGCGGCAGGGAATTTGTGTGTTGCCATGTAGACACATGGTTGGGACGCGCAATTCTCTTAAGTGACGATTTCAATCATCTCGGCATCTTCAATGCGCGTTTTGTTGTCTTGACCCAGCGACAATGGATGAGGAATCCATGAGGGGATGCTAGCCGCAGCTCGCTCTTACGTGATACTAACCGCCTTATGCGGGCAACCATTTCGTGAAACGTGTGTTGCACCGCGATCAGATTTCACCGCATGGCTCGTCTGCTCGAACCCGCCTTCCCGCGCACGTTCTCACTCACACCGTCTCGATCGCCAGTGCCGCGCAGCACCCGTTGCTACGTTTCTGCCGCACCTCGAAGTCTCGCCCGCCTGAACCCCCATCCCGCGCCGCAAACGCCACGCGCTTCCGCCGAGCGAGGGGAGCGCGCGCCTCGCACGCCAACCCGCGCAGAATGTCGTCTCGAGAAAGACCTTCGCAGCGCTGCTTTCGCAAGCCTTCGCCCTGCGCCGGCCGTTCATGCGGCAGGGCGACTCGAATACCGCCGCTCTGCGGCCTCTATACGGGTCAACGCGGTCAACGCAGTGAATGTGGTCAACGCGGTCAACGCGGTCAGCGCGAGTGAGGTGGAGGCGAGAATCGCTGTCGCCGCCAACACGGGCGCGTTGGACCTAAGCGACTGCGGTATGACCGCCGTTTCCCCGTTTCCCCCCACTCCTCCCCATTGCTCTTCCGCCTCCCCGCGTTCCCCGCGTCTCCTTTCGTCGTCCACCGTCCCCCAACTGCCCAGTTTCCCTCCTCTTCCCATCTATGTTCCCCCTCTCCTTGATATCCATCGGCTTTGCGCCCCTCTCACTCCCTTTTTAGGCCTCATCCTTACAGGGTCTCAGGTTTCTGGGTTTGAAGCTCAGGCCTACCCTCAGTCCCATCTTTATCTTTCCCTCCTCTTTTCCTTCTCCCCCACAAAATCCCCCTCCCTTTCCTTTTCCCCTCCCCAGCTGTTCTGCACCTCTCAGAACTCTCAGACCTCTCTCTGGCCGGCAATCAAATCGAATCCATTCCTCCTGAAATTGCCAACCTCTCCAAAGTAAGCTTGCAGTTGCACCCCCCCTTCCCTCTTTTTCTCTCTGGCCAGCAATCAAATCCAATCCATTCCTTCTCAGATTGCCAGCCTCTCCCAAGTAAGCCTGCTTCTGGAGTGTTCTCTGAAACCATCCATGTGCTTGCTTGCATGATGCATTTTTTAGACGTCTCAAAAGATCCTTGCTGCCATCCCTTGCCATTGTCACGTGCTTCCATTCAACCCTTGCATAGGGAGGCTGCATTGATGTGCCACAGCAGGAGCACCCACCACTGATTTGAATCCGACCCGCTTTCTCTGCTCCTTTCCCCTTTTGTGTCTCCGCACCCCACAGCTCCGCACCCCACTCGAATCCAATTCAGATCAGACCCACGTTTCTTCCCCTTTTTCCTTTCCACCTCCACGCACCCCAGCTGCGCCGGCTGGGTCTAGCAGGCAACAGGCTGCAGCGGCTGTTACTACTGCCACCACTGCCACCACTGCCACCACTGCCACCACTGGCGACCCCTTTCTTACCTCTCCCTGTTCTCCCTTTCACCTCCACACCCCACCAGCTGCGCCGGCTGGGTCTAGCAGGCAACAGGCTGCAGCGGCTGTTACTACTGCCACCACTGCCACCACTGCCACCACTGCCACCACTGCCACCACTGCCACCACTGGCGACCCCTTTCTTACCTCTCCCTGTTCTCCCTTTCACCTCCACACCCCACCAGCTGCGCCGGCTGGGTCTAGCAGGCAACAGGCTGCAGCGGCTGCCTCCTGAAATGGGCCATCTGACCCAGCTGGAAGGGCTTTGGCTGCATGGGAACCTGCTTCACGACCTCCCAGACGAGGTGCCTTGCAGTGGTTGCAGCACTGTGTTCTTCAGCGAATGAAGCACAATGTGCCTTATAGCGAGTACAGCGTATGAGAGCTGCTGTCATCTCACCTTGTGTTTGCCAGCATTCAGCTTCAGAACACGGTTCCTGCTTCCCCTCCCCTGCCACTGTCTCGCGTGCGCTCACTCTCCTGCACTCACTGTCTCTTTAGTTCCTTCCCGTTTCCTCCCCGGTCACCTCCCCTCCTCCCCTTCCTTCCCTCCTCCCCTTCCTCCCCTCCTCCCCTCATTTTCTCGTCCCTTTCACTCCTCCATGCCTCCTTCCATCCTCTCTCCTCCCCTTTTCCCTTCCTCCCCTCGTCCCCTCCTCCGTCCTCCACTCCTCTCTCCTCTCCTCTCCTCAGATTGGTCACCTCACAGCGCTTCGCTTCCTAGCGCTCGCAGGCAACCAGTTGACGCGGTTACCACACACACTGGGCAGATTGACAGCACTGCAGGTGCTGTCCGTCGCTGGTAACCAGCTGGAAGAGTTACCACAAAGTAAGAAACGTTTCCGTGTCTCAGTCTTTACGCACTCTGCTGGACGGTCAAGCACGTTTCCTCACATGTGCTTTAACTTCATACTTGTTCTTATTTCTTTTCCTCCCTCTGCTGATTTAGCTCTCTATAACAAGGCTTTTCTTTCCCTCCATCCAATCAATCCTCTCCCACCTCCCCTTCCCAGCCATCGGGTCTCTCGCCTCTCTCAGAGTCCTAGCTGCTTACGGCAACCTTCTCACAGCCCTTCCGCCCTCCATCACCCACCTCTCCTCCCTTCAGGAGCTCTTTCTTCAGGTTAGGGCTCCAGTGTCTCGTCAGGTGTCCTGTCAGGTGTGATGTCAGGTGTGCAATCAGGTGATTGTGTATGTGCTCAGGTCTCTCTCACCTCACTCCATCTCGCTCGCTTCATTGTTCTCTCGCGTCCCCACTCTCTCTCTCCCATGTTTCACTTTGTCTCCCTTTCCCCTTCCCCTGCCCACTACACCCCTCTCCCTCTTTTCCCTGTCATCCTTGCTCCTCTCTCCTCTACCCTTTTCCTCCATTTCACCACCCACGCCTTCTCCTCTCTTCATCTTCGTCCCTCCTCCCCATGCCTAGGGCAATCGCATAGCCTCCCTCCCACCGCTCTCTCTGTGCTCCCTCCGCCAACTCTCACTCGCCGACAACTGCCTGTCAGCCATCCCACAAGGCACGCTAGCGCAGTTACCGTTTCTTGAATCGCTCTGGCTGTGAGTACCGCTCCGTACTGCTCTTTACCTCTCTGTACTATTCGGTACCATTCAGTGCCCCTCTCTATCTCACTGCATGGTAGTACCGTTCTGTATCACATAGCGTGGTGGCTCGTTTTGCTGGTTTCCACCTGTATTGTGAGTGTGTCAGTCTGGCAAGCATCCCGCCGCATAGTGAATTATTTACCACCTGTGTTTTCTCTTGCTTCTTTCCTCGTTGTCATGATGCAAGCCATCCCCCATTGAATCTACAACGAGAAAGCTTGCTTTTTTCCATGTTATCCTCTAAATCCCCACAATTTCCATCAGCTACGGTAATTCCATCGCTCACCTGCCACCAGAGCTTGCAGACTGCTCTCGCCTTGCCAACCTCTGGCTCGAGGTACAGCCTCTTAGAAATTGAACACTCATCATCTTGTGGAATGTTTTCTCGGGGTATTGATCTGATCATTGTCCATTTTTATACATGGCACGGTACCATGCGAACTCGACTGCTGATGCAACCGCACAGATTGTCCTTTCCAGCTCGATTTCGACTCTTGGATCTCTCCCACTGTCTGTCTTCGACTCACACCTCTGCATCCCCTCTTCTTCCCACCCGCTTCTTGCAGGGAAATCCCCTCTCGCTCTCCCACACCATTCTCTCCGACACCTTTCATCGAATCAAGACTGTGGGAGTAGACTCAATGCAGCTGGCACCATCACAGGGCATGCAGCCACCTCTCCCAAGCAACATGCTCGTCAGCCGGCTGGCAGGGACTGGGGCAGCGCAACAAGACGGTGGCTATTTCAAGGTTAGTGTGTGGAAAGAGGGGTCCTGATTTGTGTTGAAATGAACAGCTGCCAGGCTAGAAGGCTGTACAGCCATGTCAACGTGTGGAAGAAAATTTGCTTTCCCGGTCTGTACCACTCAATCACTACCCTTAACCCTATATGATCCTTTTTCCTGACCCCTCTGTTGTTTCCACCCGCTCAGGTGCAGCCATGGCAGCGCGCAAATTCCGCGTCAGAGGCAGAGGCCGACCGCTCTGAAGTGTTGGTTGTGGCCTTTGGCAGCGCTCCAGCCGTGCCCAACTGGTGAGCTAGACCCTACTCTCCCCTCTCAAAATTCATTCATGCAAGCGAGTGTGTTTCAAAAACATTGCGCAATGTGGCAGCGGATATGGATTTGGCAGCATTGGTAGTGGGATTCAGTTCAATTTTGAGTGGACTGTGTTGCATCTGTGTCAGGGCGGGACTGCTGCGCAAGGTGAAGGGAGACATGGGTCTCACAGCGGCCATGGGAGGAACCACCACGCCCTTTGACACACTCTACGTTGTCGATTCCACCCGCTCCTGGTACACGCACGCTCCCCTCTCCACACTCACATCAGCAGCAAGCAATGTGATCCTGTTGTCGCCACCTCCTCCTGTGCTCTCTCATGTCGGTGCCTTCTCCATGAACCGAGGTCTCCATCCATCAGTTTCAACTACCCCAGCTACATGGCCTTCAGTATCAGTGCAGTCCCCAGCGCCATGCAACGCATCAGTCGATTCATTGCAGACTGATACCAGCACTGGTGGCTATACGGATGGGGCGTACTACCGGAGGGAGATTGCAGCAGCAGTGGAGGGATATGACCGTGTGGTCATGATTGGAGATTCCATGGGTGCCTCAGCTGCCCTCATGTTTTCGGAATTCGGATCAAGTGTTCTCTCGTTTTGTCCGCAGGTTAGTTTGCTCCTTTGCAAGTGTTTGGTTTTCCAGCCTCGTCGTGTTTTTGCAGGACACAAGCTTACTGGAATCTTTGTTTCTGGTTACTTCCAGGTGGACCTTATCTCAGCCAGGGGCCTGGTCGTGACTCAGCTTGGCTCAGCTCCTTCACACAGAACCTCCTCTCCTCAATGGAATCACCTGCTTCTTCAAAACCAAGGATACCTGGACAAGTGTCCCCACATGTTCATGTACACTGTGGGAACTGGTCTCATGATGTTGCACAGGCTCAACTGGTTGAGCACCTACCTCAGGTGAGAGCTTGGATGGAGCATGCTTTGTTCAGGCACTGGTTCAATTACGGTCAGCAGCAGCACTGCTGACACAGAACAGAACATGGTGCTGGGAGCATTATTGTGCAGATTTATCTCAACACCTGTTGTGGATATGGCAGGTTGAAGTGACAGTTCACCCCGTTGACAGCCACCGCCTAGCAAAGGACTTGGATACTAATGGGAGGCTAGTTCCATTGGTTAAAGCAGCCCTCAGTTGACACATGAGTACATTTCAAGCCTGGTCATGTCCGATTGCACCTAAGACGTATGGAGTGTCGTATATTCATACCATCAACTGTTCATGTCACAACACTTGTTCACTATCTTAACTGCACGTTGAACGAGAAATCTTGGATGATCTTCTTGCACTGCTCCATGTCAACGTCTCCAAGGTCCAACCCTTCTCGTGCTTCTTTCTTCAACTGCTGCAATGTTTCTTCTGCAACTTCTCGGCCTACCAGGACATACTCTTCCTCCGAAACAATCTCCACCAGAATGTTGCTGGGCCCAGCACCGCTGCTAGTTACTATTTGGGTGTTGCTCTCTTCCGGAATTGCCAAAAGAGCCAGCATGGACTCAATGTTCTCTGCATCCTCCTTTCCAGATAACAGCAGGCTGTGCCATTGCTCACTTGCCACCGGGCTGGTATTATCTTCTGGATCATTTTGTGATGGCCCAACTTCTTGAACACAGACAAGCTGTTTCCCTGCGGGACCATCTGGGCTCTCCTTGGGAGGCGGTTGTCGACAAATAACCTGTGATGGCTTCACGCAGGACGGCAGGAGGAGCTTCCTTCTTGATGGTGGCTCGGGCTCCAGCAACTGAGCAGCATCTTTACCATAAACGGGTGCATCGACAACAACGCCTTTCCCATTCATTAATGGCGTATTGACTGGAGTAGGGCCACATCCAGGTGAAAATCCTTGTGTTATCAAGTGCATCGAAGACGAGACGTGTGTCAAGCCATGTGCTGGTTCTAAATCCTTGAAGTTTATGCTTCCAACCTGTGAAATGTTGATTTCGGTAGGTCCAGATATAGATGAGGATTGATGTTCCAGCGGCATGACCATTGAAGGTGCTTGTTGTTCCATCCCAGAAGCATTTAGTGGGTCATTCGGAGTATGGTGTGCGACCTGGCTTGGACTGCTTTGGCCAACAGCTCCTGCATAGTACATTCACAAGGACATGAAGTGAACCTCAAGGCGGATAGGACTAGTGACATTGCGAACATTACCTTCCGCAGTCCAGTCCTTGCCGAAGTCTTCCAAGTCTGAGAATCTACCATCAAATCTTCCACTTCCTCGCACATGCAAAGTTGGTGTTTCTCGCTTGCTGTTTGGCTCGTTGGACAAGCGAAGCTCTGTAGAGACGCATGAGAACCTCAGCTCATGATTGCTGGCTCTGTTGTCATAAGCCTTGGCTTCAATGCTTCCGCGTCCACCTGACTCGGTGTACCGCGCACAAGGGGGTGCTTGCTTTGAAGATCTGCACATGTGAAGGTCAGTGCTGTTCCTGTCCTTGAGCACACGAGCTGGTAACAGCTCGTGGTGGGACTCTCTGTTCCAATCTGCGAGAAGTGCTTGGAGCTGAGAGTCTTGGGATGAGTATAGGCTTCAAAGCTACGCAACCCAGATGAACGTCTTCGTTTCGGTGATTCAAAGCTGGAAACTTCAGCAGATCTTGTTCCCTTCGGAGGAACAGATTTAGGCATTGCGAGGCGAAGCTGGTCACCATGCTCAGTGAGCGAAGAAGCATGACTGGTAGCCACATTTCGAGATACTGAGCCTGGTGACAGACCTCTTACTAACTGGAGAAAACATCCGTGCCGTGCTAAATTAGAGTGCGAATAACTTCCTTTAGCATCCTTAATTGGAGAGCTGATGCACAAATTTGTCGGAAGCGCACTGGCTGAGAACGTTCTGCCTAACTTGGGAAGGTCAGACGACCCCATAGTAGAACAGAAATAATTGAGAATGGAGAAAACCCTCTTGATCGACGCCTTATGTGGTGGGGAGGTTTTCCGACAGCGCGGTAATCTTGGGTTCATGTGCGCATTTCCGGCGGAGGTTTGAACACCCCTAACGGGTAAAAAGTGGTACAAAACACTTTTAGCAACTGGTGTAAAACTTCATAAAGACGAACCACCTTTGCAGCAAATTACACATAAAATTTTGACATTTTACAAGGAACGAATGTATTGGACATTAGCTGGTCAGTAGAAATTTAACTGCTTTTAAATATAGTAAGTTAATTAATTGAAACCATGGTAGAACTATTCATTTCTATTGCAGATACTGCAGTAGGTATGCATGAAATGCGTAAGGAGGTGAGCTTGAAAATGGGATCGTGTAGAATGTCTTTTCTTACATACCATGTGGTAATATGGTTAAAACCCGGGGTCCAAGAGTTTCTAAGCTAGGAAGGTTGCTAGGGGCAAGAAATGTGACTGACTCGCGAACCTTGGTGTTGTCGAAATCGGTGGTTGTGGGTCTCAAAGTAAGAAAACCTCGCGAGTGTAACCAAATATGGAATGCAACGTCAAAATTCATTCGCAAATAGTTTCTGATGGGCGTGTCAAAACTGTTTTAGTACTTACTTTGCGTAGACTATCGTGGGGTAGCCCATAAGGGGTACAACCCAACTAGGGTTAGTACTTGTACCCAACTTCTGTTCAATGCATTCATTCTCGTTCTAGATTCTAATATGGTTTCAGAGAAGGCCCTTCCCTAGGACCGATTTTTTTCTTAGGGCCCACCACAGAACTGCCCCAATAGCTGCCCTGCAGCCCTGCCCTAACGGCCCGCCGCCCTGCTGGTCGCTGTGCCGCCCCTAGCAGCCCGTCGCGCCGCCCTTAGCAGCCCGCGAGCCGCCCCTGCAGCCCGCACGCCGCCATTGCCGCCCGCTGGCCGCCCGCTTGCGGCCCGCGCGCCGCCCTTGCAGCCCGCTCGCCGCCCGCTTGCGGCCCGCTCGCCGCCCTTCGGCTCGCTCGCCGCCCTTCGGCTCGCTCGCCGCCCTTGCGGCCCGCTCGCCGCCCTTACGGCCCGCTCACCGCCCTTACGGCCCGCTCGCCGCCCCTGCAGCCGGCTCACCGCTCGCTTGCAGCCCGCGCGCCGCCCCTGCAGCCCGCTCGCCGCCCGCCTGCGGCCCGCTCGCCGCCCTTCGGCCCGCTCGCCGCCCTTGCGGCCCGCTCGCCGCCCTTACGACCCGCTCGCCGCCCTTGCCGCCCTCTCGTCGCCCGATCGCCGCCCCTGCAGCCTGCTCACCGCCCACTTGCGGCCCGCTCGTCACCCCTTGCAGCCCGCGAGCTGCCCTCTTGCGGCCCGCTCGCCGCCCCTTGCAGCCCGCTCGCCGCCCCTTACGGCCCGCTCGCCGCCCCTTGCAGCCCGCTCGCCGCCCTCTGGCAGCCCGCTCGCTCCCCCCTTGCAGCCCGCTCGCCGCCCTCTGGCAGCCCACACGCCGCCCTCTGGCAGCCCATTCGCCGCCCTTTTGCTGCCTGCGCCGCCCGACTATTGCCCGCCCCTGCAGCCGCCCCTGCTGTGCACCACCCCGCTGGCCGCCCTAGCCGTGCGCCGCCCTGCCTTGCTCTGCGCGCTGCTCTGCTGGTCGCGCGCCACCCTGCCCTGCCCGCTATGGCTTCTCTCAGTGTACTCACCTTCGATCATGAGGGCCGTTCGATCCAGTTCGATACGTGGCTCGACGACTTACAGCTGTACCTACTGAACGGTTCTAGAGACAGCGTTTCGTTGTTTGACCACACGTCTGGAGCCTCTCTCGTCCCGCCCTCCACAACTAACAGTGCAACTCGCTCACAGTGGCTTACCCGTGACGCTACTGCTCGCTTAACCGTTCGCAACCACCTGCCATTAGCCGAACGCGCTCACTTTGGACAGCACAAGACTGCTAAAGCACTGTACGACGCTGTAGTCGCCCGTTACTCCTCCCCTGCCACTGCTGCTCTAGGCCGTCTTCTACTGCCCTACCTGTCTCCCGAGCTGTCCGCCTTTGCCACAGTAGAGGACCTCGTTACCCAGCTTTGCACTTGCAATGCTCGCTAACGCGCTGCCCTCCCAGCAGAGTTCCTTGACAGGAACCCGCCCCCATGTACATCACTCTCTACTTCATAGTCACCCGCCTCCTTGAATCTCTTCGCGCTGTCAGGGACCACATTCTCACACTTGAACCCACAGACCTCACTGCCGACGTACTCGAGCAGCACCTCCTTGCAGCTGAGACTAGCGTGGTCGCTGTAGGTGCTGCTCGTGGCACTCCTTGTACGCCCTTCTATGAGGGGTGTTCCCCCTCCCCCCTTGCCCCCTTCTACGCCTCTGCTGCTGCTGTTGACATCCTTGGTGTTGCGGATGTCGGGGCTGCTTCTACTCTTAGTGGGAAGTGCCGCAGCAGCAAGGGCAAGGGTGGCAAGAGTGGTGGCGGTGGGAGCGAGGGTGGTAGTGGGGGCGACAGTGGAGGTGGTGGAGGTGGCGGAGGTGGTGGCAGCAGTGGGAGTGGTGGCGGGAGTGGGGGCTTTGGTGGCGGCGGTGGTGGCGGCGGTGGTGGCAGCGGTGGGTGTGGCGGTAGTGGCAGCAGTGGGAGTGGTGGAAGTTGGGTTGGAGCTGTTCCGAGGGGAGGTTCTGGCGATGGCCAGAGGCAGCAGCAGCAGCGTCGGAGCGAGACCCCTTCTCCCCAGCAGCTTCGTGAGTGGTTTGCTTAGCGTGGGGCGTCTGGGGGTAGTTTTCGCTGCGCGTATGTCATTTGCACGGATGACCGTGCTAGTCAGACATGCGGGAAGCTTCACTCTCAGCACCGCTGCTTTTCCCGCCTAGACGATGCTTGGCGCGCAGAGTTTGGTGACGAGGCTGAGTGCCCCCGCTAGGCAGAGCTGCTTGGGTCTGCAGTTGATATCTTTGCTCTTGACTATGATGCTATCCTTGCTGAAATGTATGCCTTGTCTGCTAGTGCTGAGGGTGACTGTTACCTGTGTGTGCCGCCCGACCCAGGTATAGAGGCTGTTGCTCTAGGTGCTAGTGAGTCTGTTCTCCCTGGTACTGCGCCTGCTGAGGCCTTGCACACCTTTATACTTGACTCAGGTGCTTCCCGCTGTTTCTTTCGCGACAGTACCACCCTCACTCCTC